CTCTGTTTTTTTTTTCTTTGTTTTTTTTTTTTATTTCCAACATGCAAGACACAGTGCTGTATAACATGTGAAGAACAAGAACAGTGGGAACTACAAACAGTTTTACTCTATTTTCTGATGCAAGTGATTAATTATTGCTTGGTAGTACAGTACACTGTAACTATTTAACTTGGCGAACTTTAATTGTTTTTGAATGAAGAAAAAACAGGTCGAAAGAAGCCAACAGTTACCAATAAAATATGCCAGATGACTTTGCCTTGAATAACGTAACAAATATTTCTTGATTGCTGCTAACGCTGCATCATACATTTCTTTGTAAACTGCATCATTTTTACCTGATCTAAGCCATGATTTCAAAAGATATTCATAGAAACTATCGCCCAATGCACCAACTGAGACATGCTCTGAACGAAAGCACGGTTTTGAATTACAGTAGCACATAACAGTATATTATGAGAACGGATCAGAAGAAATGTAGTCAAGTCGTCACCTCTTTAGTGAGGTGATGTATGAATGTAACTGCATGCAATTGCGTTATAATGGAATGATGAGTTACACTGAGTGGCCGATAATCTTGAAAAGGACAGCCACTTCGAAAATAACCTGAACGCACTTTATGAGGAAAACTTACTGGGACCCCACTTTCCGGATCTCGGATGCAAATAATTCGGGAAAAGACCATCTTCCGTCCTTATAGAAAGTACTACTTCTCGTATGCGTGCAATCTGCAAATCGAAATGAAAAAGCAAAATGTGATCAAGACAGTGCAACTGAACGAAGGATCAATAAACATTAAATGATTTGCTAACTTTCAAAGAACAGTTAAAGAAAAATTTTGGATCATAAAATGTCTAGCTGTTCAAGGATGTCCTTAACAATCTTTTCCAGAAAATAATACAAGTAGTACACGAAGAATGGTAACTGTATCAATGCGACGTATAATTTACACACTCAATATACAATTACAACCATTCCTTGAATTCGAACTTATGATTTTCACTTCAAAAATGTATACATTACACCAACAAATCAGTTCATAAAAGCAAAACATCAGTATTTAAAAACGAACCTTATTAGAGTAAATGAAGTTCTGAGTGAGTTGAGATAAATAACCTAATTCCAACTGCAAGGAACCGAATTCCGACAATATTGAAAAACCGCCATTAGCCCAACCCCAATTATGTGATTGGCCCGAAAGAGGATTAACTAGTGCGTGAGGTATACCAGTTGGTGTCTCAAAAGCTGGTAACAATATGTTTGCAACATTAATTGCTTTTTGTATGTACATCTGTAAAAAAATCAGTATATGTGAACTTCACTGACACAGTAGTGATCACCCCTGCATATCACAACCATTGCTGGATAGATTGAAACAGAGCAGCTTTCAAACTACACCAGTGGACAAAACGGTAGCTAACACTGCTGATGAAGCAGGAAGATAGAACTAAGTGGCCAAAAAATGACAATCTATTGGAATCTTTTCAGAAGGAAAAAATCCATCGCTGCATTACTCATATTCTTTGGTCCAGACACCGGAAATGAGATCAGTGTAAAATGACAAAATTACCTTATCTTCAGTTAACGCATAAGTAGCCAACAAACCCCCAATAAAACGGATATTCGTCTCGAAAACAGATATATCAGCTGTCTGAAAATAGAAAAGGATTTAGAATGGACAATTATAAAACAAATCAGGTCTGCAATAATGATTTTCCTTTTAATTTGATATAATACAATGACAACTTACTTTACAACGACCCCACTTTCAGTAATACCTTTTCCCTAATTTTCTAAAATACATGAATTTTTTCCAATCAGGATTCGAAGCTTCGACAGCACCAGTAGCATATATCACCGTAATCGTAAGTATCCGGGAATTCAGTGCAACTTGGCTTTGCAACAGTTATGACCGTGAATAAACTTCCTCAAAAGACTCAGTGGTCCAACAAATTCTGAGAAACATCTAATTACTTTTGTCCTTGAATTTTTAGTGTTAGTTCAGGAAAAACAGCACTAAGGTCGTAGGAGTACCTCAGTTCTCATGTTTGCTTTTCCATTACTAATCGTTTCAAGTTACTTTGGAGTAATAATTTTTAAAGAGCAGTTGCGAGAACCTGTCTCAAAATGTTTACTCTCTTTAGCCACGACATATTGTTTTGAAATAACATTTGGAGGGAAAAATGCTTACGGCTTGTTTAGAAATTAACCACGTTTATTTCTTGTCCTTAAGTTTTACAAATAAAATGCTACATTTCCTAACACAGATGTCTCAGATGAATCACAGAACTCATTCAAAACAAAAACAAAAGAAAGAAAACTTACGGAAACCTTTAGATCGAAAAAGTTTTCCACCCAATTTCGGCCTTCCTCATATTCCTTTTTTAGTCCCATAATATACAAAGTGTCAAGCGCATCCACAATAGTTGCACCCAATTTTCCACTTCCAAACACTGATGCACTATGCTCAGAGCGTGATAAAGGTTTCAATTCGTTGAAACCCCATGCATATTTCCGATAATTTTTCCAAGCAAATTTAGTCATCTGCAATAAGAAACATGAGATAACAGAGGGAAGTTAAATCATAATTTTTAAATCCAATGCAAAACGATTTACATTAATCAAAGGGTAAACGATAAATATGCCCAATCTTAACTTTTTCTGTAGGACTGGAGTAAATTATGATAGAAATTCCCTTCTTCTAAAAGTCGATGTATGCTAGACAACTTCCACCATGAAAGTTTTAAAGAACAAAGAAATTAAGAAAATCAAATTAATAATTTACTTGACTTGCAGTACTCTGAAATAGTCGGAAATTTATGATTTTGGGCTGGAAAACGATATCTCTTGTTGTGCTATTCGCATCAAAAAACTACAATTATATAGAACATGTGGACGAAAAAATGAGATTTTTCGGCAAAATATGTATATTTAGTAATGTTTCACTAACTTGTGTGATTTACCAAAAAACCAGCTTTTAGGAATCTAATTCAAAAAGCAGTAACATGATGAAAAGTCTCAAGGCACTATGAGACGTGTTTCCGGGAGCACCAAAAAAACCAAAAATACAGTTGAGAATTCTACGAGCTCAAGTGAAGTAGGCCCAAAAACTACCGTGGATGAATTAGACCTTTTGATGAATTACTGTCATCAAATATTCATCAAATACTACCAAAATTCAATTTATCAAATACTACCAAATTCAATAATTTTCATCAGATATTATGGATCACGATATAAAGCTCTTTCGTCAATTTTGCTAAGTTCATGTATAGCAGAATACTGATGACCATCATTCATTATAAGCTTTATTCAATTTTTTGCTTTTCCAGCAAAAACAAAAATTTGTGGTGTCTTGTATTTCCTTGCTTCTAACTCGCTTGCCATAGTTTCAAGCAACTGTCTCAGAACCTGACAATTTGTAAAATTTATACATTAACTATGAATTGACGACGGTCAGCAGATATGGTGTCAGATTCATCTTCCACCTTGCCCGCTTCTCCGGCAAATTGAGGCCTCTTTAATTCAAATTTATCCTGTCGAACCTGAGTCAAAAAACGACTCCTGTCACTTCTGAACAGTCGCCCAGATCTGAAAAAAAATGAAGTGTTCTTTGGGTTCTCGAAAATATAAAGAGTACTGAAATTATAAGGTTAACAAGAAAAAACCCAGTTCTTCCAATAACAGAAGACTAAGCCAAGCAAGAGCAAAGGAAGCCGAATTCATTTAAAATCGCCTACGCTGCACTTTGAATATTTGCATTCGAGTTTATCTCCTTGTCAGACTGTAGCACTTCATCCAAACTTATTAGATTAATATATGGTATGATGTCGTCATGTTTTGTTGGAAGTTTCGCATTCCTAACACACTTCTGCGATGAAATAGCCAAATTCGTGCAAGGAGATATTACAGGCCGGACCGTAACATAATCCGAGTTTTCGTAATTAATTTAATGTATAGAAACATAATAATGACCTGAAGAAGCTGTCGTCACTGGATGGCAAGTAGTACAGCGAAAAAAGAAATGAGAAGAATACAATTGCAGCGATAAGGGCTGATTTCTTCCAATACCGGAAGACCATACTCCATCAGTCTCTGAAAATTCAGTTTTCAGGAAATTTTGCTGAACCAACAAATTTTCTTTTCTGAGACAAAATGTTGTTCCGCAGACTGCACAAAAATCGAACGGTTTGAAATGAATTGGCAGGAGATATCATCATGAGCCTCTCCATAAGGAATGATGTTCGAGCAATTATGTCACCAACAATACTATAACTGCGCTGAATTTCATCTTACTTTTGCACTTCATTGTTCAATTTTTCATATGGTAGAACAAACGCAGCCAAAAGTGCATTAATGCAGAAGGATCTCCTCTGAAGTTTACGCAGCTGACTTAGCTGGTTAGAGTCCGAATACACTGACATGACCTTTTCCCTAACCTTTACTACTCTACTGCAAAAATTTGGAAATTTTATATTACCACCGCTCCAGTGAATCATAATAAACAGGTGAACTTTAACAGTTCGTTCGAATCACTAGTACTTTTAACGTTTTTTATAAGCAGTAATGACTCTGAAGCGTTTCTTACCCGTGACTGTTTTCTATGTCATACGAGTAGGCCATGTTCGATTCTTTGCTCAGCTCCTGTCAAAAGTAATGTGAATAATGGCACAGTTGTGAAGGAAAAACAAGCTAGCTATCTTTATTAGCCATCCATCTATCCACACTTTACCTAACTAGGAGCGATACAATGAGTATTCGTTGTGGGCAAAGAAATCTTACCTGAAGGACAATATGACGAATGTTAACTGCTGCAATCGGCTTCACATTTACTTTACTTCCTTAATTGGTCTGAATATTATGCGACTAGAGTGATTACTGTATGAAATTGGCCAATCTTTGACATCTTCATGCTTAAGCTAAAGTATTTGTCGCGTGATTCTGTACATACATGACTCTTACCAACAAACTATCGATTGCTACCACTTTGTCGAGAAAAGGAATGGTTCATTGGTGAACTTGATCCGTCCAAGGGCATCATAGCCCCTGCACACGGGATGGGGCCGCATTTGGTGGGAGGTGAAAGTCTCTGGTTATTAGGTCTTCAAGATCGTTATTGGGTCTTCAAGGGAGTTGATGGACTTATTAGGGTGGGCTGACAGTGTGTCTAGCCACGATGACCTGATATTGTGTTTAGGTGCTTTTCATGATGATTCGTCACTGTGCTTGTTTTGATGTATATCGCGATGTCCACTCACGATATCCACATTTAGTGTTTTGTGTTTGTCAACTTTCGCCTTAATTTTTAAGACTAACTCACCTAATAATGCTGAACTACTTGCTGATGAACGGTATTAAATTCGTCGTATTTTCAAGTGTGAAAAGATCGTTATGTGTTTCACAGTAAATAAATTGTACTTCAAACTGCCGGAGTATTTAGTTCAAAAAAAGACTAGATTATGTACATATTGTTAGCAATATCGGTCTTAATCAGAATCCTTTGAATAAACTACTGTGTTAATATTGACAGGGAGATGAATCATGAAAGGTTTATAAGAAACGGAATTTTCAAAGTTTTTGCAGAATTCTACAAAGATCTATTACGAGGAGTGATTCCATATGAACAATTATATACAATCGTATCCTACCACATTTATCATGCTATATCACAGTACGGGAGAGGAGGCAGTAGGTCACGTATTCGATACCTTGCTCGCAATATATGACGCACATCGTTTTTCTGAAAGAACTAATTTTTTTTAGCCAAAATGTGAGGTATTTCAGCAGTCCTTCGTTCCTAATTACATAGCATCAAGAATATCTTCCTACAAATTAAACGAAATGGACATTAAAATATGTTCATTTCTTATGTTCGCTAAGCAACATATCGCAAAAATCACCTGATTATCGGCCAAAAACTTGCTGTACCTAAGACTAGTAATAATTTGTTAGCCTAAGTTTGTTACCTGGTTGGTAATTTGCTCCAGAAACGGTATTAGTTTCAGTAATTCCTGATCGTCCTGTTGAAAAAACCAACTTTCGATAGGTATACCGTTATCAATTTGATATGCAAATGACTGCAAGGAATTGTCGATAATTATTGTTTTCGACAGATCCCTACCCAGAATGGTCAAATCTTTGATATAATTCCCATATACGAATACACAGTGCTCTCGGAACAGTCGATGACGTATTAATCGTTTCCCGGGATCGAGCAGATTCTGTAAAAATATGAGGTGCAGTCGTAAAGTTTTACAAAATATGACCTAAAATGGCACAATTTAAAACATTTCATAATTTGCATGATTCTTCTTGTGGTGGGTAATCCATTTTGTGCTCATTATTAAGTAAACCAAATACAGATATGCCTTTACCTCCACCAATCTCATTTGCGATCATATTTATTACGTAAGGAAATCACCAATATGGGCTCAGTCTTAAGGATATTACTTCCTTTTGTTTTTTTTTTTTTTTTTTTAATTGATATCAAACTTCATAGAAGCATTTCCTTTTTGACGATTAATGTCAACAGTAGGGTATAAAAGACTTTAAATTATTTACGGCTGGTTGTTTTATATCTCTTTTGAAGTCCGAAGAAAACCTCAAAACTACGAAATGCTTATACATTGTTTCAGATCCTTAAATAGTTTACCAAGAGTTTATCAGCATAAATACGTTTACTTGCTGTGAATAATATGATTTCAAATGAGCGCGACAATCGTTCCAAAAATTCTTGTAGATGTGGCCGTACACGGACGTAAACCTTTAACGTAGAATACAAAATTTAGAAGTAGTAAGAATTTTCAAGTTTAGATATGAAACTACTTTTGAGGACTTACTTGAAAGCGCCCTTTCAAAGACTCCGACTTTAACAAAATCGAATGCCATTATTTGTTATTAGTAATAATAATCATTTCGCACTACTTTTGATGCATTTTGTCTCCAAGGGTTACTATATTTGTCGCAATCAAAAAACACAGTGCTTTTCTAATTCTGCTATATGCATAGTAATGAACCAAAAGAGGAAGCAACAAAATGTAATAGTCCTTTTCGTGAATAATATGAACGGTGAATGTGGTTACAATTTTCGGAGCCTGCAGAACAGTCGAACAGTAGGGGGTCATGTGTAGAGATATGTCTCAGTGCTACGCCTGAATAACCAGTTGTGATTTAGTTCATTGGTATACTTTGCATTTGCTAGAAATTGAGAGAGGTATCTATATTCATGTTTTTCGTATTGCATAACGCTTAACAACACATGCTTAACGCATTTTTTCTTCTGTCAAGGAATAAGGTTTTCTCAGTATTTTTGTAGTATTTTAACGCAAACTTCGTAATCAGTCGTGTCATTTCTAAAGTAAGGATTATATGTTTAAATTTAGTTGTGACTAAATACTTGTCCAAAGAGACACAAAAAGTTTTAAAAGGCGAAAATGTTTTTTAGAATGTTTAGAATTGTATGAGTTATATGACTAATCTAATGAGCAATGTAGAGATATACTTTTTACTTACTTGATAGGTATTTTCCTGAAAATGCACCGGAAAAGTTAAAGAAGCATCGGGTAGTTCGGTTAAGCTGCAATGTACCAATGTCTCATCCTGGAATACATTATTTTTCTATAAATTAAACGTTGTTTATTCGTTGTTTACAGATTTGTTATTTGTCGATTCTTTATTTTAAGAGCTTTAGTATCGTTAAACTGACGTTTCCGAGGTGTTACGTAAACTTGTCAAACTTCAAACTCTATATTAACAAAGTGACGTCACAAAACTTGCTGAGGAATATCGTCTACAGGGAAACTGACCAAATCGAGGACTAGGGAGAATTCTGGCGTTGAGCGCGTCCGGAGTGGCAATGCTGGACATCGGTAACGCATTTCATCACTGAGCGGCGGTAGGTGTCGTAACAAAAATATTCTGCAGTGTAGTTTTATTATATTAAGGTGAGTCACAAAATAAGTGCAAGTTCAATTTGATTTGAACTTTTTCCCCAATGATGGAAAATAAGATTTTTTTGATAACATTTGTCCGTAAGCTGAGAATTTATAAACTGGCTGAGTATCAAAGCCAAAAGAAACATAGCTTCATGTTATACTACCCTTTCTTCCCTCTCCCCTTCCGAAAACGAACTACTGATACTTGATTACATTTCATTTCATTTATATCTGCATTGAAAAGAATTCTTTTGTGCATGAAAATTATGAAATACGATAGTAGACAACAACAGACAACTGCATATTAGATGTATCACCAGCTAAGCCTGAAACAGGGTGGCAGTGAAAGATGTAGACAGATAGACAGAAAGAAACAGGAAGACCTGTTAGTCTCGGTAAGCAAGTTAGAAAATGAGTAACTGTGCAGAAGTCCATCTGTCGCTCCTACATCTTTTACACGGTGGATTATCCTGAAAACAGCGGACGATGTAAGAATAATAAAAGTAAAAACGTACGAATCGGCATCAATGACTGGATAAACATGACGAAATGCTTCAGTTTCGGGAGTGCTGCAAATGACTGGTATATCAGTAGCCTCATCCTGCTGTTGCTGTTCGCTCGTACTGATGGTGGAATAATCTCGCTGCAGCCCCTCCGAGGAGGGACTTCTCCTCTTCCGTCCTTCCTTCAAATTCAACAAAGCTCCTATGTTAGCTATCTGAAATCACATAATTTATAATCATCATTGACAACCGTGAACAGGATGGTACATTGATGGTGATATGATATCATAACGAGTTACGCAAGAGAGGACGGCAAGAAACATATGCCATGTCCTGTTCTCCCGCATTTTTCTGCATAAATTGTGAGAAAGGGCACATCACAATGGAGCGATAAGCAACCAAGCCTCGCCTCGAGCATCCGCAAAGACATAACATTGTTGCAGGTTCGAAGGACGTACACTAGACAGAAGGACTGCAGTCAGCTGGCGCCTGCAACCATCAAGCAGAGCAAAGAGCAACAGCAGTCATCCTATTAACTAGTCTCCGTCACCCACCAATCGATCAGTGTACATGCACATATGCTATACTGCTGTCTCTACTACTCACCAGATGTTGGTGATCGATCCCCATTCATCGATCGACCGGTCGACATGAGACAGCATAACTAGGTGCACCCTTATGGCAGCCATCAAAGCTGCAATTGCAGCATACACATCTCTTTCATGTTTACCGCATATATGCTTTTAGTATTTAAGCTTGCCCACCTGCATGCTTACTTGACTGCATGTTGACAGCTAACAATATCACCCTATTCAACATTCCTTCATCCCGGGTCACACTTCGTCACCTTGTCATTTTGCCAGCGTCACTCCTCAATTGATATGCACTTTTACCGCTATATTAGCACTCTATTCTTTGTAGAAGGGAGCTGATAAGGACAAACGAATGCTTACATCTCTCGCATGATTTATTGATAACTGCTGGGGATATTAGTACATTCATTTCTAACCCTTAATGAACGTTAACACCAAATGTCAGCTCAAAAGCGTCCGAGGATTGATATATTCATCGACTGATCCTGATGTGACCATTAGATATTAACAGTGCTACATTTCACTCTGGGAGTGCGATACTATACGAGGTGTTTGATTAGTGTTTGTTTCCATAGTCAATCATATTAGGAGGTCCTGATGTTTTCCAGCCAACGTCAGTTGAGCTTTTTTCCATCGGCGTAGATCGTGGGGAGCTTAATTTGCGACGTAGCAGTGAGCGTTTTGGTGTCCATCTGTTCGAATCGTAGCATTGTGGAAGCAAAGCGAGAGGAACTGCATCATTCGATTAATTGTGGATTTTTAACTTTTCTTCTTGCTTGATGAACTGTTTTAAGATGGTGAAAAGAAGAAAAAGACTCAAATATGCATCCGAACAACCCTCGAGCAATAGTAAACGCTTCAAGAGTGAATCGGTACCGCACAAAGATGATATTGAGAACTCAGTTCCTGAGAATAGTCAGTGTTATATTCCAACGAGTATCAGTATTCTTTAAATTTTTATAAATCCATCAGTTATGCCAGAGATTGTCATGTTGAATCATCTGATTGAATTTTAAAGATATTTCGGAGATTTTATATGGCCGGGAAAAGGAAGTGGCTTTGCTGGAAAAGCTTCTCCATGAAGGCATAGTCAGTCAGTGTCCTATATCAGTCTTCGTATCCGGACCACCAGGCACTGGTAAAACCTTGGTTGTTAAAACAGTCCTACAACATATGTTGTCACAGCACAGGTGAAGCTTGTTGTAATTTTATTGTAGTGCTTTTATATATTATTTTCTCCCAATGACAATATCTCTCTTGTGATGTTCACCTACTTTTTATTGCGCTGGCTACTGGTTGAAGAGAAGTTTAAGTGCCAGAGTGTACACCGTTCTTCATGTTGTGATACTAAGTACAGAATTAGTAATTGACGGGTTATTCAGTTCTAAAATTGACTGAATTCATGATTGTTTTCGTAAGCTGTCATAAACTTCTTCAGTGTTCATTCTATATATATTAACTGTGCTTCGGAAAATACTGAACGGGATATATTAATCGCAGTGTTAAACGATTATGGTAAATCGAACAAAGGGCTTTCTGTAAAAAAATTATTTACGGAGTTTCACAAAATGCTTGCCAAAATGAGCAAACATACGTGAGTGCCTTATGATTTGTAAAATCATTTGTCATTTTTTGGAAAAGTTTCTGTTATTGGAACTATTTTGATACAACTAATAAAGATTGTTAATTCTTAGTATGTCTCTATGTTAGACGTTAAATTAGTCACTTTGATCAGCTTTTAGTATTCTCGTGCTCGACGAAATAGATTACATAATACCGAAAGATCGTAATTTTGTTTGTTCGATGTTCCAATGGCCTGTCCTTTATGAGAATATTTCACTTATCGGTAAGTATCCCAGCAATTATCTTACTTTGAACTGATGGATATAAAAATAGCTCTCCTCGTCCGATTATTCTTGTTTGTTTGAAATTGTGATGTACGCATTTTCTAAAACAGCTCCAATTTCTCTTAAAACGCATCTTTTCATGCTTGGTAAATTCGTCTATCTAGTAATTTTGAACAGTTATTGGAAAAACTACAGCACATTACTTTGTTTTGGTTATCATAGAGGCATATTTTGATGTTCTTTTTCCAAATTCATTGCCATCACTTTGAATCTGAACTGATTATAAACTGGAATAAAATTTATTTTAGGTATTGCTAACACTTTAGATATGATGGAATTGTTGAAGCATAAATTGAAATCTGTACCAGAACTGATCGTTTTTGCTCCATACACTGAAGTCCAATTACAGTTTATATTGTCAAAGAAATTGGTAAGTGCATAGTAATAAATATAACGGCGATTTTCATTATGTTCATTCTCTCAAAGAAATCGATAAGTACACAGCAAATATAACGGTTGTTTTCACATGTCCAAACCCAATGCGACGTTATGAAAGTCTTTCTTGTTTTACTTCACTACTCATACGTTATTGTCGGAAGATTCCTTGGAATAGTGTTATATTTGAATCAGAATTATCATTCCGATGACAATAAAAAGATGATGTGTTCTTTGGCATTAATTGATATGCCTATATATTTATAATGTAATGATGACAAAAAATTACAAAACACTACCATTTTAGAACCATTTTAAAATGCTTTACTTTTTCTGCATTTGAAACCAGTTTAATTATCAGGAAACTAATGATGGTGGGAATATGATCGAACTTTGCGCTCGAAAAGTGGCTGCGATAACAGGAGATGCGCGAAAAGCAATACAAATTGCGCGACGGTAGATATTTTTCCTTCAGTAAATTTTCTCGAAAATATTAGTTCTGATTTTTCTTCCACTGCTTTTTTTTGCAATTTTAGTTCACTTTCGATACATCTATCAAATAGAAATACTTGTCGAAATGTCTTTGGAACGCTAAGTAGTGTTTATGGTTCTCCATTGCTGCAATCGAAAATACCTCTACAGCAAAAAATCCTTTTGGCAACGATGCTTCGTCTCACTGGTGAAAATTCCTCCATCATAGTTGAAAAAGGTTTACACAACTTTAATTTTTGTTTTTTGGTATATTTCTATTCCTCTACTACAGTTGACAGTGAATTTTAATGAAATGGTAAAATGTGAATGAACAACTACATGTGTGTAAAGTACTGTGATATTGCTTTAGAATTATTAAGAAATATTAACTGTTACATTAACCAGTTTAATATTTTACGAGACTTCGTACACTCCCAACATTGTCCGATTCATAGTGAGTTGTTTCGGTCTGACTGAAATATGCTTGTGGAAAATTAACCATTCCCGATTCTCTTTTCTTGGTATAGCTTTTTCTGCGAAAGATCGTTTGTGCACTGTTTTACGAGAGATGGCCTGTCAATCATATTATGCCTCCTGTGCTCCCTCTACTTTTCAGTGAATGACCAGTGTATTTCATCTACTTTTTTTCTCTTAGTCATAGAAAAGTAGTTGAAAGTAGTTAAGAGTAGTTAGGTAGTCAAGTTAAAAGTTAAGTAATTTAGTTAAGTTAAAAGTAGTTAAGTCAGATTTGCTTAGTAAAATGTTTCTATTTACAAAGTTTTAATTTCATAGTAATAACTGGGTATTGCATCATTCTATTTTCGTAATCTCTCGTTAAGTCATTATTTTTAAAGTGTACTAATGATTTTTGTTTAAAGGTTGTCTCTTGTCGACTTATAAGAAACTATGTGAACTTCTACTACTCCCAGCACTTGAAGTGGATGAAATACAGGAAGCATTATCATTGCTTGAGTCACAGTCAATTTTGAAACTGAAATCTTCGTCATATCAATTGCTGGTTGATAAAGCAACAGCCCATAAAATGATTGCTGATTCTTCACTGCTTTCACAGATTAATATAGTTTGTTTAGATGAGAATTAGTAACATTAACTAATTAACTTTCTTATGTGACAATCAATGGCACTGATGATCTAAAATGCTGTGATCTCTTCATGTTTCTTGTCACTCATTAATATGTGAATTACATGATCTGACTTTTCGTACTTTGTCGACATTCTGTATTGTGCAATTGTCTCGATTTCGAATCAATGAATTTTCAATCGAGTAGGTCTTCATTATTGTCTTCAATTAGGAAAATTTTTATCCATATCACTTTCCATCCACTCAATTTCCATTGTAATATTTCTCCTATCCCAATTCCCACGCTGTTTTGAATTGTTAAACTGGTTTTATGAATAAATTGTTTTGAATATCACCGGGTGAAATAATTGGCCGTGCTCACCACTCATGTAATTTCTTTTTCCCGAAGTAAACACTTACATTTTTGGATTCTCTTCGTTTTCGAAATTGTTCGGTGGATAGGTAGTGTTTATCAGCTTAAACATCCTTTGATCACATCAATTACAGTAATTTCCAGGATGCGACCATTATCGGATGATGAAGCAGAAATTGTTTTCAGAAAGTTAGCGCATTATATTGGCGACCATACCAGATCACTGGTTGAGCGAGGAGATGCTGCCTACTGTTTCAGGTTACATAAGGTGTGTTTTAAACTAGTGTAACTAGTGTAACTAATTATAAAATATGCAAAAGTTTGAAGGATCGAGTATATTATTGCACTGAGAAGCTGATGCGGAAAGCAGCTTGCGTGTCGCGGGAACCATTGCTCAGCTTCGGTACATGTCTTGGCAAGTTCACGAAGACGAAGAAGTTTCGAATGCATATCACTGCGCTTGACTACATAGCACCTTATGCTAAAGTACATCTTTAAAAAATTAAATTGAAGTGTAATTGGTGGCCTTCAAAAAATTAGGACTGGGACGCGTAGAATAACACCATGTTTGTTTTCCTAAGCTAGACGAGTCTAAGCGTAACTCAGGGAGATATGTTTTTTTCTCTGATTATAAGAGTACCATATTTGACAGGCCTTTTAGACCTGATCAAGTGAGTATTTTCAAGAAATTTATGGTTTTTTTTAGTGTAAAATTTGGGTGAAACCGAGTGCAGAGCAACAATTCTTATACGGTAACAATGTACTGAAATCGGGAATGAATCGAATGACAGAAAGTGCTGGATCGCACCAAGGAGTTGTTGTGTATAATATGAATGATTTGCCACTCGGATTTGGAGTTACAGCTAAGGCACAATGGATTTTTTTCAAATTTCTTTTTCGAAATCAAAGCAAAGTTCCTGTCTTCGTATAATATGAGCTGTCGAATTTACTGAATATACATTAGCTTGCGACAAACAACTTGAGAAGTCACAGCAACCGTTTCGCAGTCGCTGTGTTGAAGTCTGCTCTAGTTTGTATTTCAACCTGACTTTTGAAAAAAGTTCAAGCCTAGACTTCGATTTCAATTCGTCTGTCAAACTCATTTGAAAGGAAATCAAAACTAAAAGTAGATCGTGAGACAATCTCATTGTTAATAATTTGTTGATTCAGAGTACTGCGGAATGTAGACGCGCTGGTCTAACATCTGTTGTTGTATTACATCAAGCGGATCTCGGAGAGTATGTTCGTAATGAAGCTATATTGACTTGATATATTATCACTATAATAATATTTGTTTTGTGTCTTTTTTTTTTTTGGGAATCTACAAATTCAGAGTTGAAATTGAAAAAACACGGAGTCTAAGCAGCTTCGGAATAAAATTTCGCCATATGTGCGCTGGCACCTTTGGTTATACCCAGGAAATTTTCGAACAAAGCTGTTGCCCGTTGCTCTTTTGGAAGTGAGGTGTAAAAAACTGTTAGTGCTGCAAAGCATGGAAACCGATCAATAATAAGTGATGCTTTCTGGATGCTGATTTGTGGGCATACTACAAGCTGTCGCAAAAAAACATCTTTGACGCTGCGACACTGGGTTTTTTTCGATGTTTTTTGGAATTTCTCAAAACTCATTCCTGTGAGCTGAAAAGGAAAAAGCTTTCGTCAGAAGTTTTGCCGGTCTCTGCTTTGCTATTTTCTCCATCTACACATCGCACTATGAATTGTAAAGAGCAAGCTAACGAAATTCAAAAGGTAAAGCTAACCTCCTGGGTAGTTGCTTTTCTTATTAGTCGCTCCGCAATTTTAGATAAGACAAGTGATGTATGTTCCACATCGTTGGTGCGATAAACCAAAAACCTGCAATTCACCCCGAGTAATATACACAACAGTTTGGTAACAAAGTCAATTAAAATTATTAGGAAGTACCGATTTTCTATATGAGTAGTAACGAGCGCCTGTTCAAGAGCAGGCACAGAAGCTATGGATCCTTCCAAGATATAAACTATGTTCGGAATACCAATTGATACTAAACGTTGTTTCTGCTCTTCGTATCTGGAATTACAAATGATATGATGATAAGGAGAAAGATGTAGTTTTCTTCTAAAACATTCTCAACTTCACGAAATCAATGAAGTGCTCATAACCTTTTTTGCATTATACTAGACCACAGATCGTTAAGTGTCTTACGTTCAACAATAGTATCAAGCACCATCTCCGTGCCATCACACATACGCATAATCCACAGGTAATCACCAATAGATAATGAACGCAACTCGTAAAAAACCCCCTAAATGTAATACTTTTAGTAAATTTCTGGTGCTCAATTTCATACAACAACTACAAGGATTTTAGGTTGAAATTTAATTGCCGAGTATTTGGCGGCAAATCCACCACTACATATTTTGTTTAAGCAAGAAATTTGGAGTTGAAGAAGTGGATAGTAATGATGATATCTAGAGGTGATAGTTCAGAAAGGAAAAGGTTTACGAAATCAATCCCACGGACAATGGAAATTCATGCAGTCTTCAAATTCTTACGACCAACTGTCAAACGGAGCTTACCACTACCTTTTCCTGAAAGAAGCGACACATTTGCTGCAATTTCCTCGTATTGGCACTTTCTCGGTTGTCAATAATCAACACTATCTGAAAAAAAATCGACTTGTAGTTAATGAATACTACACAATCTTTTTGAACTTTAAAAGCAGTGAACAGATACCATCTTAACATAAATGGAATTGGAAAATGAGATCATACTTGAGCAGTACTAAATGCAGACGGATGATAAATAATACTATCATCACATTCCTGTGGTACAGTGCAAACTTGTTCCATTTTATCATCATCGGCAACAGGACTAATTAGTTCAGCGTCGTCAGTTTCATAGTCTACCATCTTAACATTCAATGCACGAGGCCTTCGAATAACTTGTACCTGTTCACAGTACGGTTCATTTATGGTCATGGATGGACTGTTAGTACTTTCGCTTTCTAACGCTACTTTTTTCGATAACTGTAATGGTTGAGCAGTTCTTATAAGACGTTTACGTATATAGTTACGACTTGGCTTCACATTCTGAAGATCCACACACTGAGACAAGTGTTTTGCATTCCTTGATTTGGCGAGATCAATATCCGCGGACACAACAGCATCCGTGGACAATGCTTCCGTGGTTTGAGGCGGCTCAGATTTCTTTTCCAGGAAATTTGAAAGGTTGAGGAATTGTAAGAATTCCCCCTTTTTCATCTGATGGATCTGTTTCAAATTTGGTACAGCCAAATTTTGTGAACAAAATATATTCCATGCTTCTTCAAGCTTTCGAGCTATTTTATCACCTATACCTGGAACAGCTGAACATTAAATGACCGCTAATGAATTCGTTCCGATAACTACTAATTTATGAGTTGAGAACAGCGCCCACTTATGATTATCACGCCAATAAATATTAGAGGACCGACCGGCTTTTAATCATAATTTCATCATTCCTATTCTTAATTTCTACGAATTTGACGTGCATCTTCCGATCACGACTATCGCTGCTACCACTGCAATTGTGTCTGTGGTTACTTCTTTAATGCCTACCATTCGACAAGGCATTGTAATCAGAGAGCAAGACTGAGAAAAAAGTAAAGTGGATTACCTCGGATATTTTTGAGATCTGTAAATGTAGCAATATCTAAAGGATATGCTCTCAAATTGACCAGTGCTCGACATAAAACAGAGCGCAACTTTCGGTCATCCACACTCTCTTTCCAATCCAATAATACCCTTACATAGAAACTGTTTCTTGGGAAAATACGATGTATTTTCACCCGATTCATAAACAATTCGTTACTATATACAAATGGCTGTAAAAGTATTGAAATCTTTAGAAATTTATGTGGATTTGACACCCAACTGATGACACGCAAAAATTCTCGTAATATTGGAATCCTTCAGGAGAGAAGGCACGATACGAAATGGCTTATTTCGCTGAATATTTATTCATTTCGTACCTTCCCTCCTTCCTCGACAGAAGTGAATATGCAAATGGTTGTATACTAAGGAGGCATAAGCTTTGAGTTAGTAGAATAATCATTTCGAAAAATTACGAACTTCGGAACTCTGTTCACAAAGTTTGCCACGAAGTTCTTTTGCCGGGCAAGAAATTGGACTAATATTCACTACTAATAATATCCGCAAAAGTAAGCTTAAAAAAGCAGAGTTAGAAGCGGAAACATAACCCTGAAAAAAATTTGTCTAAGCAGATAAAGCGGAAAAAACCAACATTTATTTAATAAAATGAATCCAACAATGAAGAAAAATGCAAGATCACTGTATTACCTCGTCATTGTACAGTGCATGAAGAGTAGACGATGAACGAATGAAACAATGACAAGCAGTACTGAAAATTCAAATATTTCACCTAAAGTTGCATTTATTACCGCGCGCATATATGAAAATTTAACTTGCACACAGGAGAAAATAGTTGAAACTCAAATAAATTTTCTGAATGAAATGGAAACAAAGCGGCCGCAGAATTCTTGCCTATCTTTGCCCTCTTTAATTCTGCTTTCTCTCACTTTTGTTGCTACATTCCTCAATAGCAAGTTATTGTATACAAATTATTGTATGGAAACGTTATACACTGCATTGACTTGATTTTAATAGAGGTACGAAAAGCTTTTCTTTGGTAGTTTAGCCCAGTATGCAGTCGTATCATTACAGCAGTAAGCATCACAAGAGAAATTGAATTATGGTAATAACACGCTGAAGTTATTAGAAAATTATGAGAATATACTATCGGTCTCCGCATCAAGATGAATGTTAAATCTGAAGAACCATTTGAAAGTTGTCAGGCAGTTCGGATGAAAAAAATGCCAGAAAACACCATACGAAAACGAAAATGAATGGAAAATGAAACAGGAAATTGTTCAGAAATGAAATAACAATGTGAACCGAATGACAGAGGTATGACTGACTACCACACCGGGCTTTACAGCTCCAACATAAACACATACACGCACTCAGAGAAGCAAAATATTTTGAATGCAAATAATACTGTTAAAACAGGTCTGAGCGCTAAACCGAAAGTGGATTCCAAGAAGTCCGTGAATACTCTTTCTTCAGGAAGTTATGAAATGGACGTAAAGGACGGTACAGTGATTTTTGCATAAATAAATTTTAATTTATGCTTAATATAATCTGACGATCCATTCTACATAATAAATACCTCAAATATTATCAATAGGAGTTGTGGATTTTATTTTTTCGTGAGTACTGGCCATCACCAAGCCGTGCCAAATATTCCGCCACGAATTTCCGTGCTTTATCCCGTACTGATTCTGTGACCTTAAGCTCTGTTTCACCGACTCGTTTTAGCTCTTTCTCTAATATCGTATGCGTCAGCTGCAAAATCAAAATAAATCTGAAAGCATCAATACCATCATTTCTCATGAACACGTCAACATGAGTAAAAAACTGCTCCATGTAATTTTCACACCATGCAGTTTGCATTAAGAATTTTATGGAAAAAAAACCATTTCATTAATTTACGTTTTTAAAAGATCAACAAAACACTGCTAAAGTTAAAGCGGAGCAGAATGCCATCCGTTACTGAAAACATGGAAGAACCGCTTCATCAGGCTGTGCTAAAACAACCGGACAAGAACAGATAGGAATTTTAAGTGAACTCCATTCTCCTCAGCATGCAAATATTTCTCTGTAAATAATCGCACTTTTCCACCGTATATATCAGTTAACACTCGTTTCGATTATTCAGCTATATAGAACAAGAAAATGGAGACCATGTAGATCTAAGGTAAGTTCCAATAGCAAGTTTAGTTCTCAAAGTTGACAATTCTGTCTAAAAATTCAAATCAGCTTTACTTTCCGTAAAACATATTTGTAATCATCAGCAGATGCAAATTTCAGCTTTCGAATTGGTTCCAACATGCCGCCAACATATTTCACTATCTCAACTTTGAATGTTGCACGCGTATCAATACGATCCGTTGTAGTGTCAGCTGAAGCATTTCCACCTTCAGATTCATCAGGCAAAGTCCAAACGGATTCCCTGAAAAAGACTATATACATAACGACAAAATTATAGTTTAAAGAAATCTGTGAATCTTGATTTCTGCATATCGTACTTTTCATCGCTATACTGGTCGTCGATAAATATTAGAAATTGTAGTTGTAGTACACCATATATATACGGCGTTGAAAAATGTGAAATAAAGGCATTCTCCATCAAAAATCTATTGACACCGCTAATGGATTCAAAGGTCACTCTTTGTAAGTAAGGAAGGCAAGAATCACGACTTGGCAAAAAAATTGGAGCTGTTATAAATATTAGTACCATAAACTAGGTAACAGCTAACAATAATAATAACTATTTCACCTGGTTTCTTTATTGTAATAATAAACAGCTCCTTCCTCCGTCGTAGCCTGTATCCACAACGACTGTTTAGTTTGTGAAGGTGGAGGAGGTGGAGGAACACCACTCATGTCACTTGATTCTTGTGCAGCCTTCTTTTCTGCTTCCTGTGAACGTCTTCTGATTTCAGTTCGTTTCGCCTTGAGCGCTATCAAATGCTGAAGTAATTTTATCAACTGTTAGTATGGATCCACATATATTGAAAGTCTAGTTTTTTAAAAAAAAAAAAAAAACTAACTTTCTCGACCATTTCGATATCTTCGTCTGTCGGGTTTTCTATATCGATCGGACCAATTACAAGCATATTTGGATTTTCTTCTGGTGTTTTAGGTCGTTTGGGCGGTGGTGGAGAGGGTGCTTCTAAGATATTCGTCATTTCTGCCGTATTCTGCAAAGACTGATTTAATTACATAAAATTAAAAGTTCAAAAACAAAATTACTTGAGTGAATTTTAAAGATTGGGATGAGCGTCCCACTACTGACAAAAGATCAATATGGATCACCTGAGGTGTTAGTGGACACGGTACCATTCCCATCATAGAATACTGCTGCTGTTGATAATAGTCAATAAACTGTTGATAAGCAGCAGAGGATGGATCATATTTTGCATATACGGTGTTCCAGTCGAAAAATTCCGGGAATGAATGTTCACTGTATGAAAAATTTATTGAATCTGGTAAACCGGCAGCAAATAAAGCTTCTGGAAGAAGCTTTGGCGGTGGAGGAGCGTAGAAATCACAATCTGTAGCATACAATTCATACATTGAGCTTGGATTTCTTTCACCAACAACATCAAATCGCGAACGACGCTTCTTTGGTCTGTTCTCTCCCTCATCATCTTCGTTAACGCGTGATAAATCAGTTACAGCTATTGGTGACTGCTTGAAATCTTCGTTTTCAAGATGCGTCAAATCTTTGACGAAAATTGGTAGGTCGGCTAAAACATATCAAACTTCATTATTCTAGAAAACCTCTGTCTTTAAAACTAACCTATCTGGATCTTATAAGACCAAATGACAAAATTTAAAGTCATATGAAGTGATGAATTCTTTGAAATGTGACAATGCTGCTCAAGTAATTACAGATTTTATGTTTTACTAACGATTCAAAAAAAAAAAAAATCACTTTTGGGGAGACGACGTCGGTCAAAACATCGCTTTTTGGGTGGTGGTCCAAATCCACTTAACCTCCACAGTGTACTGCCGTCATCCTTCTTGTCTACTATAACTCGTTTGTTCTTTTCATCTTCATCAGTCTTCTAAATTAGAAGCAAGATATATGTAACTGCGTAGTACACATAAAAGCACAAAAATATGAATTTTCGAACTTAGCTAAGGAAAAAGCAACAAACTTTAAGAAATGGAAAAAACGGAAACCTACCCGCACATAACGACTGATATCATGTTGAGTTGAAACAGGAGCTGTACGTTCCCGACGTGGGATTCGATATTCTTCGCGCAAATTTCTCCACTTCAACTCATATATGTTACTTTTAAGGAAAATACACAATTTAGAAATAAATCCAAAAAAAGAATACATATATATAACACACCGGAATATTTCATATGACCAACCTTTCCCATCAATTTCGCAGCTTTTGTAACCATCTCGTAGTGCAAACGTTCTATTACAGGATCCGAATCTTTTAATACTGTTAAGGCTGAGTACTTCGAAGTGGAAGGTATATCACAACAGACTACATCTACTAATCTCCTCATGACATCTTCCACAATTTCATCCATAGGACCTCTCTGTAAAATGGATGATTCTATTAGGTATGTAAACAAAAGTGTATAGAACTTACATAGAAAAAAGAGAAATATCAGAAAAATAAAAAACAGGAATTGAAGACTCACTTTGTTAGCAATTTTTTCCACAGTTGAAGCTAGATGACTATCGATAACTTGATTTTTATTCACAATAGGCATAACGTCCAGCAAATCAAGTGATTTGATTTGCAATTGCAGAACAGAATGCTCATCATCGATCGGGTAATTGGTAGCTAAGAAAACGTATAAAAGTCTCAGACCTGCAAGTGTCAAGCTTTAATTATGTTTTATGAATATGCTCCGATTTTTGGATTAAAAACATGAAACAACAAAATCTTATAAATGCAGCTCGACAATGTATGAAAATAGAATTCGTTTCGAAGTATGATCAACAACGTACCACTTTCTTGGATGAAAAGCCGTAGTACATCAGGATGAGCAAATCGGATACACTGTATTAAGGACGAACGTTGTGGTGCTTGTTCTACTTGTATCATTAATCTGACAAGATCACGAACTTGAGTACGATTTCGAGGCGGTCCTCGCGATAAAGCATTCACTATTGCCTGAAAATATGTCACTATATGTTCATAATGTCGAAGAATCCACTGAAAACCGAGATATATGATATAATGAAGTATACTAGAAAATCACCTTATTACAACGTTGAGCTGATGGCTGCCTTTTCTTGTTTCTCGCAGTGCGTGAACTTTTTTCCTTTTTTCTGATTTCAACTTGGGCTTAGTTAATGAAAGTTCATCATCCGCTCCACTTTCTTCAACTTCGGCTTCATCACTGATTTTGTCCTCTTCTTCTTCGCTTTCACTGTCATCACCTATTCGGCCTCGACAATTTGCAGCACCACAGAAGCATCGTTGTGCTTTTCGGCTAAATTCAATCAGCTTTCAATAATTTAACTCGCATTTTAATCATCGTATACTTATCCTGAAGAACTAAAAAAATGTTCTAATTCCAATACCCATTAGATTATTTGCCCAAATAAGATTCATTTCAGAATGACCACTTCATCGCAGAACATAGTTACTGTACAGCCAAAACAACTTTCTACAACATTACGCAGAGATGTGAAATGAAATCTAGCCTTTCTAACTTGCGATAATCCTCTAATAAGGTACTCCACACTGCTGATAGGATTTGGTGATTACGATACGAGACATGAAATAAATTACCCGTAGCGCTCAAGCTGATAGTCAAAAACGATTTCTTCTCCCAAAGCAATTGGTTTGATCACGAAGAAACCAACTCTTAACTGGCGATCAACTGTCCACTGGAATCTTTTTTACAATAAATTTTCATAAAGTACTTTATCAAAGCTAATCGTAAACACTAATCAAAAACCTACTGCCTGTTTAACATATCTATCTAAACAAATCACAATCCGAATTGTAAAATGAGTTCACAAAGAACTATAACTGTAGCTTATCAGAGAACTTTTGACTCAAATTTGCAACACTGGCAATTAAGATTACTCGTCTCTTTACCACAAAAGTCTCATCCTTATTTCTTTTCCATGAAATTATCAAGGAGTAAGTAAAAAGTTCTGGTGAGACTGAACCAGCAAGTGGTAACCAACACGTGAAAATTCTCATTTAAAGTTGAACTTATGAAGTTGTGATACGACGTAAGCTAACGCACAAAATATTATGTTGAAAGGTAAAATGGATTTTTCGGGTAAAAAAAAGCAGTAATCCCACAAAAAAACTCTGACATCATAACTAGACACCTGTGACTAATTTACACCTACTCATTTCAAAAGTTATCTTGATAAATTACAGTTGTCTCGATACTCTTGTGCATTTCAGCATATTATTTCGATCGTCTTTTCGCAGAATCCATAGCAAGCGCATTTCAGGAAAACTCACCAACTTTGGCACTGCACTTCGGTACTCGACAACTGTAATTTAAAAAGACAATTCGTAATGTTCTAATACTACTAGAATTTCGCTAACAGGTATTTCAAAGCAAAGAGAGATTCAAGTTGGAATTTTACAACTGTTCAAAAAAAATTTCACTGTCTCTTTGGAACCAACAGTTCTTTCTTTTAAGGTAAATAAAAGAGAAATAGATTATAACTGAATGAATCGCAATATAAACCATCATAAAAAAACAACACATACCTTTTGACTTTCACAATTCGGATCACAAGAATGATTTATGAATCGTGAAACATTTCCTTTCGCTGTTGCATCTATCACAGCACCGTTCTTTAGCGCCATAAGATAGTGATGCACATGTTTTGGATCTTTACCATACCTGGAAACCCAGAAAGTCTCTCTGGACTTTGAAAGTACTATATGATTTCCTTTATTTTCCGCAATGGTCATATTTCAGAAAAGAAAAAAAAAACCTTCTTCCACGACGTATCATTTCCTCTGCATCAATAACCTCGCCAATGTATTCAATGATGAAACGGCCACTGGAAATTTTAGAAAACAACTTCAGAAACCAAATAGGAACGACAAAAATAAAAATGAAAGATCCATCATCTTACCTGGAATACTCTAATCTAGTGGTTCCCAATCTTTTCTTGACCAGGAACCGCTTTAGCTTTTTTGTCCGTAGTAGGAAGTAAAAGTTCAAAAATAATATATTCTGTTAAGGAAATAAACTTTAATGAGAAACTTTAACTCAATCGTTTATAAAAAATTGGAAAAAATAACCCCCCCCCCCACCCCGAACAACCTCGCCAGTTCTCTACTCACTTCGTCATCGCCTTCGCGTACCACCAGTTGGGAACCATTACTCTAACCGGACAGAAAGTGCAATATTTTGCAGAATGTGAAACAGGGATTCAAACATGTTTTTAATTCTGATCTAGCAAGGAATAAACCTCCAGCATTTCTACTGATATGACAGAAATAATGCTTACTAAAAGAATCTGGTAAAACATACGGCTCAAGTGGTTCCGCAGCTCTCAATCCCCAACCTTTTACACCTGCATTGAATACTTCCACTTTCGCATATTGTTTCTGGAAATATCAGGCATGGAAGACTTTACCTTACTTAAAAATTTTATCCAGGATCAAAACGTTCAACCAACAAAAAATTTAGTATGCTATATGACCAACATTATGAAACCGCCTATTGGCGCACCCCACTCCACTTGGACATCGTGATCCACATTCCGTATAGAGCTCTCGATTAATGCAACCGGAACTGCAACCACGACCTTCTGCTATTTCCGCCAATGTCGGTTCACAAAAACAACGCACAACCTGTAGCAAATGATTGTCTTTCTCGAAATCCCCTCATTGTTTACAAAATAGAAATAGTACAGTTTAATTTTCAAGTAAATGAATTAGTATGACGGAAATATTGGATGCAGCCCCACCTAAGTTTTGAAGCAACTCTGGCCTAAACTGAAATTTACCTACCTTAGCCTCTTTAATTAGGTTTTCATCACAGAGTATAATATTTTCATCCAAATGTTCATATTGTCCAGGTTGACTGGCTGGCTTTAGCAATATAGGGGAAATTTTCAGCGTTGATACTTCCAATTTTTCTTCATTCTCATCCAGGGCCAATGCAGCTTCTGATAGTAACGGCTCGTCATTGGCCGAATCAGCAGCTATATTTGCAGTATCAACGGTTTCCGGGATCTGTTTTCGTCCTTCAACAATTCGTAAAATATCAAGATCTGATGAAGGAAGTGTTTTAGGGGTAGAATTGAAGGAATACGTGGAAATTGATGTTGCTGATGAAGCAGAAGATAAGGAAGATTCTTCACCATTTGTTTCAATTTTGGAAGCATTCAGCCTCCACTGTTGCTGAAGGAAAGACACTGATTCTGACGGTAATTTCGCTTCTTTTAAGTGAACTTCCTGCGGAAAATCCAATGCAAACCACGGTTTGACTGTCCTTTGAACACTCGTTTCTGTGGCTATCTCAGTTTCATCATTCATCAAAGCTAGCGAATTCGTTTCCAAATCGTAATTGCATTGAAGCTTTGAACAAGACAGTACGGTTTCCGAAACATTACTGCAGTTCGATACTAGAATTTTGTTTGATGTTGGCTGCTTTTCTCTTACTTTTTGCTGCGTTGTCTTTTGCTTTACATACTGATTTTCCAAAAACTGCATTTTATGCATTACATAATCTGAGTGGTCCTGTTCAGATGACGAAGTAGCACCATCTCGTGATTGAACACTTGGTTTCGGCTCTGGAATGCATAGTGGTAGGGCCATTTCTCCAAGGTCTGCGGAGTGCTGAAATAAAGACCCGGCGCGGAATGCATTTTTTCCTATATCAGAATCCAAGCTTCCAACAATTCTTGAATCCAGTGAAGGTTCTCCACATCTCAGTGTCGACTTTGGTTGTTCTTCAGAATATAATTTCGGCAATTCACGTGTCTCAACCTCCGGTTCCCAAATCTTCACATCTCCGGTAGGAAGTTCTTTTGGGGTTTTCGTGAACTTCCATTTAATTACCACTTTTCCTTTGTCTGAAGTGGCTTCGGAAGCAAGCTTATCCTCCGCAGTGCGAGATAAAAGTGCACAATCAGCACTACTACCTAGTTTAGATGGTTCGGGCGGTAAAGCTATATCGCAAGGGTCACAAGGAAGTGCTATTTTATCCAGTGATAAGTCAGCACAATTATTACTTTGGTTATATCCATGTTGCGCTGCGATGGATATGTCAGTACTTTTAGTATATTTTTTCATTTTCGTACTAACAATCTTTAACGTAGCCGCTTCATTTGTAAAAATCTTCTCCTTATCATTTTCACTAATCGTTTTGTTATAATCTCCATCGCTCCCCTCATCCAAACTAGTAGTGCATTTCTTCGCAATGGTTTCACTTGAACTCGACGCCACAGCATCATTTAATTGTATACAAAATGGTGCTCCAACATCCCATCTCGAAGGCCTTTTCACTTCCAAACTCGTAACATTTTCCTGAATGTGCACACTGATTCCAGTCGTCGCCGGCTCTTCATTCTCCACATCTCTTTGTGTGAGAAAATTTGCGGGTTTTCCCATCTCCGAAATAATTTCATATTCGTCCTTTTCGTCGACATCCATATCGACCTAAAAAAGGTCTTGAAATCAAGACTTCTAAAAATCTGGGGACAAATTCTAGTACGAAAGAATATCAATAACTAACTTAGTTGACTATTCTTAATTATGTGCACGTAGGAGTTACTGCTAACACATATCTGCTACATACTTTATTCCTGTTAATTAAAGTTTGTGCCAAAACCAAAGGCAAAATTTTAACATTACCTCTACCTCAGTAAGGAATCATGGACCAGTTACTTTTAACCACTTAATATTAACTTATTCAAAAAACACTATGCTGGCATATTCTTTTCTGACTGATAGATTGCATAACAAAGAAAAATTTTATCCTTTTCTAAAATGCCGAAGTACAAAAGTTATCATTGATTTAAACTGCATTGTAGAATCTCAAAATGTTTATATCACACAGATAGATTCAAGAAACAAACTTCTTACAAAAATACCAAAACATAACATTATGTTATAAATTTGAAATACAGCCTGATGTTTATATACCTTAATTTACATTATACATCAAATAATAACTAATACCACTAACGGATCGGGAGACAACTCTTCATCTTCAGCGATAATATTATCGCTTTGCAAGGAAACGTGCTTCCCCAAAATTTCGTACCGGTTCATCGTGTTTTTGCATTTAAAACATAGGTTTTCCTATCTTTCTTTATTTACAACTATCATTAATAGGATTTGTGAAAACCCGTCGTTCCAAATAAGTTAATTGTTAAAATTGGCTTACTATGTCAGTTGAATCCATTTTTTCATCCACTTCTTCCAATAGCCAGCGTTGCTTCATTAATTTAATACTCATGTCTTGTTCTGGACAGCAGTAAGACAATAAATTATAAGGACATTTCCAACAAACCAATAAAATCCTGAAAATATAAAATCTTTGTTCGTTTGAGCTCGTTTGTTAAGGCAATAATCGCACGCAATACCGTCTCAAAGTAGTACGTTAACGATGCCAAATCCAAAAAATGCAGCAGACCTTATTACTCCACATTATTATATTGCTCTGGTTATTGATGAATACCATTAGTTCAGATATATTAAAGAGAAAAAGAAGAATCAAAAAGGAAATAACGAATGAAACCGAACGGCTGCTCCTTTGAAATCACGATTATATATA